CTAACCGAAAGTTAACCATAAATCATGAAAATTGCTATAATTTTACTGGCCATTGCTGGTCTAGTAAATGGCAGCAGCAGCAACTCTAATCAAAAATTTTTAAATAAACAAAAGTTTCTTTTGGAAATAGTTTATCGTGTTGAGGAACCCTTGATGTTTGAGGAATGGATCAAACTTGGCAAGACGTTTAACTTTGATAGATCTGAATACACAGTAAGTTGCACATAACATAACTTCAATAACTTATCTAAAGCTAAAAAAAAATATCGTTCAAATTAAAGCGTATACCTCACTATATGGAGAAATATTGCAAAGCCTTGAAATTTGGTGCCACACTGCCTAAGAGTGAATACTTTGGCGCTCTAACAGAAAGTCACATCCAACAGGCCTATGGTCTGTTTGGTTTCTTCTACTATGTCAAAACATGGGAACTCTTTCAACGAAATGTTGCCTGGGCTCGTATGTTTAGCAATGAAGCCACTTTTGTTTATGCTTTAAACTTAGTGCTTCTGCATCGCGATGATTTAAAGGGTTTGCTGTTGCCTTCAATTTACGAAATCTTTCCCCAAAACTTCTTTAACAGCAAATTCATTTATGCAGCCGAGAAATTTGATTATGAAACCTGGTCCCAATACATCATGTATGAAAAGCAATACAAGGATATACTCTACGAAGATTATGCTAAAGTCTATAAGCCCTACGATAGACATTTTTACTATCGCTATACCACAGATTGGAAGTTGTGGCAATGGTGGAAAATGATGGGTTTAGGTGATCACTGGTACTCTGAGGAACACTTTATAATGCGCGAAAACTGGCCAGAGTACTACGAGGATCCCAAATTCTTTGAAATCTACGACAGCACCCACATGTTCTTCATGCCTGTAGACTATACGCGTAATATTGAGCTCAACAATTTGGAATCCACTTTATCTTTCTTAACTGAAGATGTGGGCTTAAATGCCTACTGGTATTATCTTAATCTTAATCTCGCCTTGGATGGCAAGCATAACTATCATCGTGATCAATTCTGGCTATATAATTTGGAACAAATTTTACGTCGTTATCGCATGGAACGTTTGTCTCATGGTCTGGAAGAAATTTTGGATTTTTCCTTTTTAGACAGCTCGGATAGTGATTATGATTCACATTTGATTTCGTACAATGGTATTAGTTATACGAACCGCAAATTCTACTATGAACTCGAACAATTTGGCCACACCGATTACTATCAAAGTCGTTTGGGCATGTTTGATCGATTGGAGGATATCATTAGCAAGAGTTTCTTTGAAACTTATGCCGGCGAAACGATTGATTTGCTTAAGCCCGTAAACACTGTATTTAAGGGCAATACTAAGCAGGGCAAAGTTGATACCTTCGACAAATACACCTTTCAATACTGGTACCAGTATACCCACATGTATTTCGCTAAGAGTAACTCTGATGATTACGAAGTTCTGCCAAATGCGTTTTTAAATTACGAAACCATGATGCGTGATCCTATGTTCTATAGCTTCCACAAGAAAATCGCTTCCGTCTTTTACGACTTCAGGAGCAATATTGCGCCCTATACACACGACGAATTATTGTTCCCTAATGTGATAATCAAAGATGTTGAGGTCAGTGAATTGGTAACCTATTTCGATTTGGTAGACTTTGATGTCAGCAACTTAATAAACGACAAGGTTAACTTCGTTGATGATCAAATGATTTGGGATAAGACCTTGTTGGCTCGTCAAATGCGTCTCAATCACAAACCTTTTGAATTTGTATTTAGCGTGGAATCGGACAAAACTCACAAGGCCGTAGTACGTACATTCTTGGGTCCCAAATATGATCAATTTGGTCGTGTTATCACCTTGCCTAAAAATCGTGAAAACTTCATGGAAATCGATAGCTTTTTCTACACTCTTAAAGCTGGTAATAATATATTCATACGAAAATCTGATGATTTTTCCTGGACCGCTAAGGATCGCATATCCTACACCGAATTGTACAAGCTTCTAATGCTGGCCATTGAAGGCAAATATGAATTTCCCACAAACTTAACTAAACCTCAATGTGCCTTTCCAGATCGTTTACTATTGCCTCGTGGTTGGCCCCAAGGTATGCCTATGCAATTGTTTTTCTTCATCACTCCCTTAAAAGCCAAATACGATAACAATTCCACCTTTGACTACGCTTATTCTTGCGGCATTGGTTCTGGTATTCCCTACAACGCTGAAATTGCATTCGGCTATCCTTTCGATCGGGAAATAATCGAGTATGAATTCTTCGTACCCAACATGCTGTTCAAGGATGTCAAGATCGGCCATAAAGACACTTTCGAAAAATACTTTGAGCACAAATACGAACATTTTGGGCAGTTCGATTATGAATATCTTTAAACAAGTAATTTGCTGGATTATATTAAGAAGTTTTGGTTTTCAGAAAGTATTGCAAAAAGATATTAATTAAAACTATTTTTGATTCATTATTAATAATTTAATAAAAAAATATTAATTAATTTATAGCCTTATACTGTTTTTAAATCGGGTGGGTCAGAGTTGTTTTGCTCTAATTTCTCTGACAACAGTTAGGATGAATTTCTCGAAATTAAGAAATAAGAACTTATAAATCGACGTATAAATTGTATCTCGAAAAAGTTCAATATCTGTCATCATTATTTTGTATCTAATGGAGTTTAAGTACAAATGCCAAACAACATTTTGTTAATTATTTGAGTTATCCTTAAGAATTTAGGAATCTTATAAGTAAAACAAACATCATCTAAAATACTGAACTTTTATATACACAAACAAGAAAAGGAAAATACATAATTAAGAATTAGCATACTATTATCTTCCAGATGTCTTATAAAATTCTCTAGACTGCAATTATGAAAACACACGCAAAAGATTAGTTAAAAAAACTAATGCGTTCTTATCACCTTTTATGTTTAGTCAGACCGAAACAGGTGCAACATAAAAACATAACAATAAACATTAAACTGATAACCTGGTTATAGAAATACACAGATCCATTTGTATAAAAACCGCTGTCGATGTCGAAAACATCAGCAGTCTTTTGGTATTGGAAGTGATCGTTGCATCAAACTCTAATCCGTGGACAGTTTGGTTTAGAATCGAAAAATGAAAATCGCCATTGTTTTATTGGCCATAGTTGGCTTGGTTGCTGCCAGCAGCATCTCTAAGCATGAAGTTAAAGTTGCCGATAAGGAATTCTTGGCTAAACAAAAGTTCCTTTTCGAAATTGTTTACCGTGTTGAGGATCCCTTGATGTTCGAGGAATGGATCAAGATGGGCAAGACATTCGACTTTGACAAGGCTGACTACACTGTAAGTTCCCTTTTTTATCCTCATCAAAATCAAACTAATTTCCAACCATGTTTCATAACAAATTCCAGCACTTCGACATTTATATGGAGAAATTCTACGAAGCCTACAAGCACGATGCTCTCTTACCCAAAGGTGAATTCTTCGGTGCTTTGGTAAAGACCCACCTTAAGCAAGCTTATGGTTTGTTTGAATTCTTCTACTATGCCAAAAACTGGGAAGTCTTCCAACGCAACGTTGCCTGGGCTCGTATGCACTGCAACGAAGGCATGTTCGTCTATGCTTTGACTTTGGCCGTCATCCACCGTGATGATTTCCATGGCTTGATCTTGCCTTCCATCTACGAAATCTTCCCTCAATACTTCTTCAACAGCAAATTCGTTTACGAAGCTGAGAAATTCGATTACGATGTCTGGAGCAAATACATCATGTACGAAAAGGAATACAAGGATATCCTCTACAAGGACTATGCTACCTTCTACAAGAACCACGACAACCACTACTACTATTATTACACCAAAGACTTTAAGATGTGGCAATGGTACAAGATGATGGGTTTGGGTGAACACTGGTACTCTGAGGAACACTTCATGTTGCGTGAAAACTTCGAAGAATACTACAAGGACTCCAAATACTTGGAAATCTTTGAAGGCACCAAGATGTTCTTCATGCCTGTTGACTACACCCGTGACATTGAATTCTTCAACAAGGAATCTGCTTTGTCTTACTTCACTGAAGATGTTGGCTTCAACGCCTACTGGTACTACCTTAACATGGACTACGCTTTCTTCTTGGATGGCAAAACTTATGGTTTGAACAAGGATCGTCGTGGTGAATACTGGTTGTACAATGTTCGTCAACTTTTGTCCCGTTACTACATGGAACGTTTGTCTCACGGTTTTGGTGAAATTCCCGAATTCTCCTACTTCAATACCATCGAATACGGTTACAACCCTCAATTGGTTTACTACAATGGTGTTGGTTACTCTTACCGCAAGAACTACTACGAAGTTGAAAGCTACGGCAAATTCGACTACTACTACAAGGTTATGGACTTCTTCAACCGTTTGGATGAAATCATCACCAAGGGTGTCTATGTCACCTACGAAGGCAAGACGATTGATTTGCGCAAACCCGAATCCATTGAATACATTGGCAGCATCATGCAAGGCAATGTTGACACTTTCGACAAATACTTCTTCAAATACTGGTACATGTTCGCCCATATGTACTTCGGTGATGTTGACCAACACGATTTCGAAGTTTACCCTCATGTATTCTTGAACTACGAAACCATGATGCGTGATCCTTTGTTCTACATGTTCTACAAGAAGATCGCTTCTGTCTACTACCAATTCTTCTACTATGTCAAACCCTACACTCACGAAGAATTGTTGTTCCCTGGTGTCACCATCAAGGACGTTAAGGTCAGTGAATTGGTTACCTTCTTCGATTTGGTCGACTTTGATGTCACCAACTTGTTGAACGACAAGATGACTTTCGTTGATGGTCAATTCGTTTGGGACAAGACTTTGTTGGCTCGTCAAATGCGTCTTAACCACAAACCTTTCGACTTCGATTTCATTATTGAATCCGACAAGGAACAAAAGGTTGTTATCCGTACCTACTTGGCTCCCAAATACGACGAATTCGGCCGTGTTATCTCCTTGACTGAAAACCGTGAAAACTTCATGGAACTCGACAGCTTCGTATACACTCTCAAGTCTGGTGTCAATGAATTCAAGCGCTATTCTAAGGACTTCTATTGGACCTCTGAAGACCGCACCACCTACACTGAATTGTACAAATACGTCATGCTTGCTTTCGAAGGCAAATACGAATTCCCCTTGGACATTAGCGAACCCCACTGTGCTTTCCCCTGATCGTTTGGTCTTGCCCCACGGTTGGGTTAAGGGTATGCCCATGCAATTCTTCTTCTACGTCACTCCCTTCACCGCCGAATACGAACAATTCTCCACCTTCGACTACAAATACTCTTGTGGTATTGGCTCTGGTGTTCGTTACGTCGATGAAATGCCTTTCGGCTATCCCTTCGATCGTGAAATCGACGAATACGAATTCTTCGTACCCAACATGTACTTCAAGGATGTTAAGATCTACCACAAGGACACCTTCGCCAAGTACTTTGAACACAAATACGAAAAATTCGGTCACTTCGACTACCAATACTTCCATTAGATTTTTTCTAGTGTAAAAGTGTATTTTTAGACGTGTATAGATAAGATGTGATAATTAATATATTGAAAATATTAAAATAAAGAAAATATAATTAATTAACACAAATTTTACTGTTTTTTATTTAAAATGTTTTATTTTCAGATATTTTTATTTTGTTTAATGGCGATAATTTAGAATTTACCGGTATTGCATATATTTAAATATGAACATGTGTTTTTTTTTTTTTTATAACCACCATCAAACAAGTTAGGGGTATATATCGAAATAATGGTCATAGGTCCACAAGTGTATATACATTCTGGGTCCTTATTAAATTCTAAGAATATCTAGCCACGTTTGTCCGTCCATCTTTCTGTCTGTTGAAAACACGAGAGAGCGATGAAATTCTGCATAAATATGTTTTATATGACCCAAAACCTCTATATCAAATTTCATGAGGATCGGCCCATAATTGATTCTACCCCCATATATGTCCCCATCAGAAAATTATGAGGGTCGATCCATAATTAACTTTACGCCTATATAAGGTCCTCTCAGAAAAATACTTTAACGATCATTGCTGGCTTAAAAATACGAGTACAGTTATGAAATTCGACATAAACAACTTTTATAGGAATGTAGATCTTCATACCTCGAAAGAACTTTATGAGGATCAGTCCATAATTGAAACCATATAAGGTCTACTACAGAAAATTACTTTTTCGCTCATGGCAGAATATACCGAATATACGATTACAGCGATGAAATTCGAAACAAATAAATGTTATAACCGAACCGAAATCATTCTACCAAATTTTACGACAATCGGTCCATTATTGCCCCTACCGCCTATATATGTTTACGGTTTAAAAATTTTATAAAAATATTTTGTTTTTAAAAATTTATATTTTGTTCATTAATAATTGACATAAGCCCTATTCCAAATATCATCCCAACGTTTATAGGGGAGCATTCATCTTACGGCATACGGTTGATGGTGGGTATATAAGATATAACAATTGCTTGTTTTACTTTATATTGTTGAACTTATATAACGTAGATCGTTAAGTAGTACAATTTCTTTTGGTTAGTTTTGGATCACCAATACTTTGGATAATTGAAAAATAAATTCGAAAAGAAGAGCTGATGAACTTATTAATGTTTCCAATTCAATTTAGCAGACCAACAGCAAATCACGACGTTCAGAAGAGATTGAGTTATCTAATTAAATTCCGCAGAATTTCCATAGATATGACTGCATTAATAGGCCCCAGGTTGTCTACTTTGAAATCCATGTTTGGTCCGGTAATAGCGTTACCATGTACTAACTAACTAACTAACTAACTAACTAACTAACTAACTAACTAACTAACTAACTAACTAACTAACTCCTACTAACTAACTAACTAACTACCTAACTACCTAACTAACCTAACTAACTAACTAACTAACTAACTAACTACTACTAACTACTAACTACTAACTACGAACTCCTACTACTACTAACTAACTCACTAACTAACTCTAACTAACTACTACTAACTCTAACTACTACTCTACAACTAACTAACTAACTAACTAACTAACTAACTAACTAACTAACTAACCTAACTACTAACTACTAAAAACTAACTACTAACTAACTAACTAACTAACTAACTACTACCTAACTACTAACTACTAACTAACTAACTAACTAACTAACTAACTAACTAACTAACTAACTAACTAACTACTAACTAACTAACTAACTAACTAACTAACTAACTAACTAACTAACTAACTAACTAACTACTACTAACTACTAACTAACTAACTAACTAACTAACTAACTAACTAACTAACTACTAACTACTAACTAACTAACTAACTAACTAACTAACTAACTAACTACCTAACTAACTAACTAACTAACTAACTTAACTACTAAGCTACTACACTAACTAAACTCACTAACTAACTAACTACTAACTAACTACTAAACTAC